ATTAATTTTGTATATTATTTTAAAATAATATTATTTTATTATATTTATTTTCACTTACCAATTTTATCTTATTTATATATATATATATATATATATATATATATATATATATATATATTTCAACTAAACTTATCAATTTAAATAGATGGAAGAGACAATTATCATTTGATTGATAAATCCATCACTTTTAAAAGAAGAAAATACTTGTTAATTGTAATAATTATTTTTATATACAAACAATATAAATTTATAAAGTTTATATATTTATACAAATATAATATATAAACATTTATCTGTTAAAATTTAATAAAAAATAATTATTTTTTAAAATATAGTTAAATTAATAATTTAAGAAAAATGGGACGTCACATTTAAAAAATTATTTTTAATTATGGGTTATAATTTAATAAGCAAACTTAACAATGTACTAGTTGGATTAGATATATTAATTAATGAATTAAAAATTATATAATTATGTTTTTTTTTATAAACTTATAACTTAAAAAAAAACAAGTTTAACTGATTAATAAGTGATTTTTTTTTCATAATACAAACTAAGAACTTATGCTAATTATAATTGATGGAGGTTTACTAAACATAGTTTATTTAATGATGGTTAGAATAATAATATATGAGGACAACTTTTAAACTATTATTATTATGGTAGTTCAAAATTAAGAAATTAATTTTAAACTGTCATTTATCAGTACAATAACATTTTAAACATAATTATCGTTATTTGTTATTTATCAAATTGTTACTAGGTTACAATAAATTTATATGCTTTTTCTTGTTTTGTTTATAAATCAATAAGTTTTCATTTCTCCTTCATTATTATTATTTTTTTATAATAAGCGTATATCTCGTTATTATTCTGCTATCAAAACTAAAACATTTCACTACTTTTTACTGTTGTTCTTTTAGCACAATTTTAACATGTTTAAGAAAATATTTTTCAACTTGACCCCTCCTTCAAATCATGTAACATAAACTTTTTTTAATATAATATAGATCGTCTTATTATTTAAATATCATTTTTTACTAATGTAAGATATTTTAAATATTATAGTGATATTTATGGTGGAGAGAAACACTTTCCAAATGAGAGAAAGAGATAGAAAAAGAAAAAAAAATGTTGAAATGATGGACAAAAGAAAAAGATAAGAGTTGCAACAGAAAACGAGAAAAAAAAAGTAAAGACAGAGGGTGAAATGAATAAAATTAATGAATTAAAAAAATTAATAAAATATACATTAACAATTTTTTTAGAATTATTGTTAAAAAATTAGATATACAATAATGATTATAAAAATATTATTATTAAAAAATTATTGTTATAAATATACAACAATAATTATAAAAAAATAGTTATTATATATTATATAGATGATAATTATAAATAAATCATCGCTAAAAGATTTAGGATTTAGAAAAAAAAATTGAATCTAATAAAAGGAAAAAATTAGAATTAAACTCAATAAGGAGAAAAGAAAAAAATATAAGATAATAATAAAAAAAAATATAAGGATGAAATAAACAAAATGTATCAATTAAAAAATATGTAACAATAATTTTAATATAATATGATTGTTATAATTATTATCATATTGACATACAACTATATACAATTATATAACTATGATTATAATTTTTTTCTAAATATACGATAACAATTATAAAATAAATCGTTATTCTATATCAATATTAATTATGAACAAATTATTATTAAAAAATTAAAATTAATTTTAATAATATCTCTTTATAAAGATTTATATATAATTATTGTTAAAATGCATGATATTTTATATATTTTATATTGGTAGATAAACCTAAAATAAAATAATATTCAAAGTTATAAACCTAATGTAAAATAACAGAATTATAAGAAGAGAATAAGATAAAAATTATAATTAAAAAAATATTTTTTTACTGAAAAATATATTATGATTGTTAAAAAATATCTTTTTATATATTAATTTTTCTAAAATTATTTTTTTATTCCATCACTAATTTTATTATTCTATTTTTGCCAACTGATTTTCATCGTGTCTTGCTTAAGATTAGTGCATCAATGTATGTATGAAAACAAATTTTGTGTATTTATAGGGTGACCTTAATTTTTTTATTTACACTATAAAATTGTTGTAAGTAGTTATTTTTAAAACAAACAGATTAGATAAAGACATAACAAATAAAAATATATTTATTTTTATTAAAAAGAATTGCAATAAGTACGAATAAACGGACCCAAGGTCAATCTTTATTCAGAGTCTGTATGCATTTGCTACAAAAAAACAACGAAAATTTGCACATTGTGCGTTTGGTAGAGTTATTTGACTCAATGACTTTTGGTATGTATTAAATCGCAGCAATTCTATGATTAATTTTGATATTATCTTAAATATCATGTGCACTAAAAATTAAATAAGTAAAACATTTACAATCAAGCACTTTAATGTTTAACATTTATTTATAAAAAAAATATATGATGCATTAATTTAAATTTATTTTAAAAGTATTAAATATTTTTAAAAATTTATAAAAAATCTGTAAACCAAATATAATCATTCAATGAAAACTTCTAATTTAAAAAACTAATAATTATAACCTAATATATAAAAATAATTATTTAATAAAATAACTATCAAAAACTACTCTATGATTAATTTAATCACCTATAACAATACTTTTATGCTATGCATTGATTGGTAAACAAAACTATTATGGAATGAAAGCAATTAAAAATAAAATCATAAGAGTTATTTACATAGCATTATTTTTTTTCAAGTTGCTCAACCTAAACTTTATCCTTAAGTAGCAATATGGATAGCTGATTTAATAAATTCTTCAAAAGTAGTGGTCACAATTTTTTTTTTCTATATATAAGATAAGACCATAAGTATTTTTTTTTTTGGCAATATGAATAACTGATCTAATAAAGTATTTAAAAGGTACTGGTCTCAATCTTTTGTTATAAGATCATAAGCATTTTTATGATAAATAATTTAATCTAGTTAAATAAGATTATTATATATAGTAAACCTTTATTTATTTATGCATTTCATATAACTATGTATTTAAAATCTATACTTAAAAATATTATTTAAATTAAAGTAATCCTACCCAGTTTTATTGCTGAGAAACAACATTGATATGATTAGTGGTCTCGATTGTTCTTACTGTGCAGTTTTGGAACGAGACATTATTAGATTTTTCTTCCACCAAAAGACAAATTTACCAATAATGGCTTCCAGAAAGTTGTATTCCCAGCAACCACTTCAACATTTCTTTTATATGTGCGTCATGGCTACGATACAAGTTCAAAACAACAAGAAACCTCGATCATTTTTGTTCTATTTTTTATTAAAAGTCATAATAGGCCCACCCAAAAGATTGGGACGACTAACGCTTATTTTGACTTTCTGAGCCCATGTATGCTCTTAAATTATTTTCAATACTTTTAGTTGTATACTTCGTGAAATGGTGTTAATATACTTAAATTATATATATATATATATATATATATTGAAATTAATATTAATATTAAGAATATTTATATTTTCAAATGAAATATTAAAATTTTATAAAATATTTCTATTTTGTTAATATTACGAAGGATGGCATTTTCATGTACATATTCTATTTACTTTTTCTAGTTTTTATTAAACATCTTTAAAGCAAGTTTACTTAAAAAAAAAAAATTAAGATAGACTGTAATTAACTTTGAAGGGAAAGTTATCTGAATTCAATTTATAAGTGTACAATCCCAAAAATTGATGTTGAGTAAGGGATTTAGATCCGGCTGTTTTGTTTTGCCAACATTGATTTATAAGTATACAATATTAATGATTATTAAAATTAGAGTATAAACAAATATATATAAATGAGTATTAAAGAGTAATAAAAAGGAGCAAAGATGTATGAGTGTTCAGAGTCTTTGGAAACAAACACTTCAACTTAATATAAGAGACATGGATTCAACTTGGTATGTTGAGATTGTGGATGGATGTAAAAGTGGTAGAATCCAAGAGTTGGTTAGACCATAAAACATTTTGTTCATCTGTCTACATTGATTAGATTATGACTTCCCTGCTATAAATCCAAATCCAGCAATGCTCAATCAATCAGCGATGATGTAACACTCAAGTCAGACTCAATCAACACACCACAGAAAACAGCTGTTGCTGAAAACATTCTCACAATCCTCAAACTGAACCTCCCTTTGGGTTTAGTAATAGCCGTCCATTTGTTGCACCACATGGCAACACACTATTGTTTGTGTTACAAAAATTGACCCAAGACCTTCATGCCCAATGCCCAATAAACTAATGTTGTGTGATTCTCCCCTTCCTCTTTGGTCTATTGTCACCCAAGCTGGCATTTATCATTTGCGATGCCCAAGAGTTAGCTTTCAACCTCACTTTAATCACACCTCCCTTGGTTAATTTTAAATTGTCATTCATTTACAAATATAAAAATGCTCTTTTTAAATTAAACATAGTTAACGGGATTTAGTATACTAAGATATAATAACGACAAATTTTGTTCAAACTTAAAGATATTATAAATTAAAATTTATAGAAACTAAATACTTTTTACGATTTCTGAGCGGAAGGGGCAAGCTGAATGGTTTATATTTAATGAATTGGTGGATAAGTAAGCATAATCTAATAATCAATTAGTTGACGAAGAAATAGGAGCTTAATCCAAAAAATTAACAAGCAACCAATGTCAAAAGACCAATTCACCCTTTCACGCACTAAACTTTCCAGCTTCAAAGACCAGTATGTGTGGGTGCTTCTTCTGCTGACGCTTGAAGATAGTGAGGGGGAAAAAAAAAAGAGAGTAAGAAATTCATAAATTCTAGAAACCTCTCATCAGAGAGTCTTTGAACCGTGAGGACCGTGACTATATCAATTGCACAAACTCCAGGTTATAAAGTTTGATCACTTTTGCATTGACCTTCAAATTTTCTTTTTCTCTCCGGTTATTGGCTCGACATGAATAAGCAATCACCGGACCCTCCGGTTCCGACGTTCTCCCCACGGTTCGCGCTTACGTCCGGTTCGCAGCGGAAAGTCGCGATCGCGGTGGATCTGAGCGACGAGAGCGCTCACGCGGTGCGGTGGGCCGTGCAGAACTACCTCCGACCGGGGGACGCGGTCATCCTGCTGCACGTGCGTCCCACGAGCGTCCTGTACGGCGCGGACTGGGGGTCGGTGGATCTGAGCGTGGCGGAGGAGGGCGGCGCCGGTGGTGATGAGGAGTCGCGGCGGAAGCTGGAAGATGATTTCGACAACTTCACCGCAACCAAGGCGAGCGACTTGGCCCAGCCGCTCGTGGAGGCGCAGATACCGTTCAAGATCCACATTGTGAAGGACCACGACATGAAGGAGAGGCTGTGTTTGGAAGTGGAGCGCCTCGGGCTCAGCGCCGTCATCATGGGAAGCCGCGGCTTCGGCGCGTCCAAGCGAGCCGCCAAAGGAAGGCTCGGAAGTGTCAGCGATTACTGCGTGCACCATTGCGTGTGTCCCGTTGTGGTCGTGCGTTACCCCGAGGAGAACGATAAGGGTAACGGCAACGGTAACGGCGGTGGTGTTCAGGTTGGGGAACAGGTGGAGCTTCCACCTGTGCCTGAGGAGGAGCACGAGGTGTATCATGATGCTTCCGATGAGCACAGAGGTTTGGTTTCACCTTATTATGATTTTGTTCCACCATAATACGGTATTATGATTTAACATTGCATAGTGTATAGTTGGTTTGACTAATTATCTTACTTGTGTAGCATTGGTAAAGAAGAAGATTGAGTATTCGTCACTACTTAGATATGCATGCCGCTTTCTCTAATCAAGTTTGGCATTTATCTAAGTTGTCATCTTGATTAGAGACTAGAGAGCGATGTCGAAAGTGGCTATGATATAATGATTTTGATTAGATAATATGCTTCATAGCTAGTATGAGAAAAGAAAATAAAAATGATAAATTTTTCGGATAAACTGAGATCAAACTTACCGACTTCTACACTTAACTTTTGTAGGAGCAGACGTTTACCTTATCTGGGATTTGAAATACATTAGTCGATTTTATTTTATATAGAAGAAGCTCAATTCATTTTAGTTTTTTTATTTTGTTCTGTGGAAAAATTTACCGATCCAGGACTATGTTTAGGTTCTGTTCTCCACAGAGCTCTCTGTCAAGGGTTTTTGTTGATGATTTTTATTAGGTGAATTTTGGTGGACTTTACTCTTCAAAACATGATGAACTGAGGGAGTGTGTTGATGGATGAAAGGGCCTGCTGGCCTGGGCCACAGGACTAAGTGTGTGGTTGGACACGCACACATATTACAAACGTGAGAAACCTGGTCAATTTGTTTAAAAACTTAGAAGCAATAACTACTAGCTTTTTAAATGGGGGAAACCATTTCCCAGAAGTGCAATCAAAACATTATAGCTTGTGGCGCCGTAGCAATAGAGGTAGGAAAAGGATTGTAAGGAAATCTGAAACTGACAAAGAGGACTGGCTTCCTGGTTGACACCAACCGCAGAATAAAGAGAAAGCTTTGCATGACATCTGAAACCAATCCTGATCCAAATTTAAAGTAACTTGTGTAATAAGAAATAAAACAAATGTCTGTGAGTAATCCATATGTAATGCTTTTAAGTTGCTATAAAGGACCTAACACAATCCTGCTCCATAATGTGGATTTTAGACGGACTATGAGGCCATAGGGACTAAAAGTGGTTAAAATTATGTGTAGGAACTACAAATAATTGAAATTATGTGTAAAGGTTAAAAGATGTTTTAAGTATAGGTATTAACAGAGATGTTATAACTATAGGAACTAAATTATTAATTATGCCAAGTAAAATTAGTGATGATACTTGTGCTTCAAAAGCATGGACGTATTTGTAAAAGGCCAGATTGTTATCATCCACTTATCAAGTTAAGTTTTGCATGCAGTAAGTTTACTCAAATTTCAATGGTTTGATTCATTGTGCCTAATGGTGGAATTGTGTAGACTGATAATGATGATATTTTACTCTATAAATATGCACACTTTAGGAAGCTCTACAAATTGAAAATTGCCAACAGACATTATTTTTTCATATTTGTTTACCTAAGGCTGAATCCAACTCTTATCACTTGTAGTGTGTTGCATTTTGCATTTATGTTTAAAAATGTATATATAACATGCATACCACTGATCTACGGATCCTTTTCTGTATGACTGCTACCATTCAGTTCTTCTAGTTAAATGCTGAAGTTACTAAACTAATCCAAGGTTATGCATTTACGCATGATATGCACCTAGTGGACTTTACAATTATCCACTATATGCTCCCACTTATCTGACAGTGCTTTGCAATTGGGAGATAATTTCCCAAAGACCTCTAGGCCTAGGGAATACTCACATAGACTGGCCATACCCTTTAGTAGGCTAATTTCAACAATTCTTAGATACACACAAAGGCTAATGTTGGATTTGAGAGGTTTTGAAGGAAATAATTACCCAAGTAATAATATCTTGGATAAGGCAATAACAAACCAAAATATGGATATTTATTTTCATTTTAATGTAGCTTTTTATGGTCAAGACTACCAAGTTTATTTTAAGTTCTAGATTAGCATACTAGCTGTTAAAATGGCGATTTCTGTATTTACAACGTAAAAGAATGATAGAATTTTATACTTTTACTTTTTAGAGGCCATCAAATTGTTAAATAACTAAACATTGTAGGATTTCACCTATTACTTGAGTTTGGAGTATATTATTATAAGTTGATTAGTTTCTTATATAACCTGCTTATTTTTGGTGTACGAACAGATGCTTAATGAGAGCATAGAGCAATGTCTATATCCCTTACTAACTTCAGGTAATGCATGAATATCATGAGCAATTTGTCAATTACCATTTAATCCTTACTCTCAATTTTGAAAATACAAGCTGTTATAAGCTCTACATGGATTTAAATCCTATTGTAAAACACGGTATAATAACTGTTACTTTCTGTGCACTTTTCTCACCTGGAACTTAGACGAGGGAAGTGATAGGGAGTGGTATTCCCAGATTTTTTTTTTTTTTCTGCATTATCTTCCAAGAAATAATTTTGGTTGGAATATGAAAAACGACAACCCCAATGTCCTAGAGGACTGTTTATCCATTAAATCTGGACTCGTGTTTTCTTTACAACTAAAACATCAATTTAGTCCATGAAATTGACATCATTGGTCCCGTTCGATCCTCGCCCTTAAGAAAAGTCAAATTTGGTCATTGACTTTGGTATCTACCATCAATTTAGTCTTGAATTTAGGAACTATCAGTCATTTCATTGTTCCATTTTAACAACTATCAGTGTTATCTTGCCTAATTTAGATTCTAACATTAGGAACCAAATTGACAGATTTTTTTTAATGTTAACGATAAAATTAACCAATGATGTCAATTTCAGGGATTAATTTGTTCTTTTTTTTTTTTTCACTGACAGCTACAATATAGTTTTCATTTATGAAGAATTCATTTAATAATAAATATGTTAGTTATTTTTCATGGCATATACAGTCAAATTAACAACCATTGAATTTTTTTTTTTTTCAGGAACTGCTCACAGCAACAAGGCTTATTGTGTCAAATGAAGAAGAATGTATTAAACTTGAAAAGTATCCTCTTTGGTTGGACAAACTATAAACTGTAAATTCGTTATTTGGTTGGTTAGCATGTGTATGTTTTTGTACAAGTTTTTTATTACACTGCTTCAATATCCCATTGGCAGGGTTGAATGTGCTATCGTTTTCCAGCATTTGATTTGGAGGCTCTTGATCCGCATCATGATTGGAAACCAATTATAGATCTAAGAAACAGAAGTTTCATTCAATTGTCTTACTTTTATCCTGTGAATGCCTGGTACTCTAGTACAACTATGTTGAAGGAAGTTGGACAATGACAGAGAATCACAAACATATTACAATTTATCTCAGACACCCCAACAAAACAATATTTGCTTCTGGTTTGACGTTCATACATAATTTAAAATTACTAATTAGAAAACGAAAATGGTTATTAATTTTGCAATAACAGAGTTGATAGATCAAGCTGTATAAAGAACACACTAGTTTGGTGAAAGGGGAAATTTTCGTGGACATTGAATACAAGCTTAGGCGAGCTTGATGTAAACAAAAGTTACTAATAAGGAATCATTTGTTGACATAATGACTAGTAAATATCGTCCATCTCGTGGTACACCATCTCCATGAATTTTAGGGAAATCCTGTATTGTATAAAAGCAGAACGTGCACCTGCGCATTACACTTGTTTCAAACAAGTGTGAAGTTTTCGGGTTAAGATGACTGACTTGTTAGGAGTTGTTGATCAAAGGGTAGCGACGAAAATCCACGATTAACAGTTAAATTCGCTGGCATTACAGTGCAACGTTGTTTTCCTTGATTTGTTATTTGACTAATCGTTTGCCCAATCAAATTATATGAGTATTCTTTGTTTGTGTATGTGTGTCGAATTATGATTCGGGTCAATGATGGAAGGTGGTATTCACTGAAATTGGTATTGATTGTGATGTTTTCAATTGACATCTCATTTTTGGGGTCCAGTGTGATCCCAAGGTTTTCAATGCATATTTATTTATTCAAGGTTATGTATGCATTTGGGTCTTTTGGGTGTGTCCATGCTAGAACGGTGATTCACAACAGGTTTTACAACTCTGGTTGGATTGTGATCAAGTTCTAAAAACTTGGATTTATTAATGGACCGAAGCAGATTTATGCTAAATTTACAGTGTGAATTGATGTCATCTGTGTTGCAATCCCATTGGTCTTTCCTTTTGGTTTGTCATGTATTATCTTTTATCTAAAATCTTAAAATTATTTTTATCTAAACATTTGAGAGTTTAAGATGGAATTACAATATAAAATCATTTTCAAAATTTAAAACAATAAATTTAACGATAAAATATGAAATTGACGTTATTTTTTCCTAAGTGAGAGACATAATAAATTCCCTAAATGAAGTTGATTAGAGGAGCATGAACAACCAGCAGAGACTGAGTTTGACCCACTCCAACATCAACAAAGACATTAAAATGTTATTAATTTCAATATCACTTAAACAAAAAGGATAACTGTCAATCACCATTAAGGTTTTTTTTTTTATTATTATTAATTCTAACCTGCTTAACACACTCTTTAGAATTCATCATCTAGATAATGTGTAAATTTTATGTCTCGAAAAAAAAAAAACACATATATGATGTTATTGTCTCTAGCACTACTAAGACTATTCAAGACTCGTGAGGATTTTGAGTTCAATAAAAAACTATTTTCTTACAACAAAATTATCTCTCTTTAAAAAAAAAAGGTTTAATCAATGAAAAAGAAATTCGAATCAAAATTGGATATTGTCTAAATTTAAGAGACTCAAAGTTATAATTAACGAAAAAATTAATTAAAATACATTGATTATGAAAATAATTTTATGTTATCATTCAACCATAAATCGTATTTGATATAATTTCTGATGAGTTGTAAATCGACAAAAATAGTTTTCATTTAACCAAAATACAAGACTTGTATAAAAATTCTCTACAAAGCTTCTCCTCTAATAAATTTTATTGAGTTATGTTGCTTAACTTTCATAATATAAATAATCTAAAGCATGTGAAGTATTTTAATTTTTCCTTTGAATATTATTTAAAATTTTCTTCGAATACGAATGTTACAAAAACTTGAAATCTAGTCTATATAGACATAACTTAAGAATAATGCAAGAAATTAAAAATCATGATCTAATTTGTTTGAGCTCAAACTTTTTTCCTCTTTTTCAATACATGTAATTGAAAAATAAAAGTTAGATTGCACGAACGAAATAGAGTTTGGTAAATGGTTAACCAATTTTGAAAAACGTGGTTTTAGATCATTCTTTTAGCTGAATTATAATATATATTTCTGTTTGGTCTAACATTGATAATACGCTACGTGGTATATTTATTATTGTTTTTCTCCGAGGATAGATTGGGCCGGTCCAATTCATTGAGGTTGCTTAATTGGGCTTCTCATTAGACACGTGGACCACTAATATTATATTTCAAATTGTATATGCAAACCCTTTTATACTAAACACGTATGATTTAGTCAAATAATCTTAAATATTAAATTGAATATTAAATTTCGTTCTTGAAGTAAAATTGAAAAGATAATATTCTAATTATAATTAGATGTTATACAATTCTTCAACCTGAAAATAAAAATATTAAATTTAATTTTTTATTAAAATATCAATATTTTTTTCTCAAATTCACGATTACTTAAATGAAAAGAAATAAAAAATAAAATAAACTTATACTTGACATTTTTTTTTCTAATTTCAAATTAGTTTTGCAAAATCTTTGTTGAATTTTTCTACGACTTTTATAAGTCATTTGGGATAATAACTTCAAAAGGAGCATTTGAAACATGGCACACGTTGTGACAGACTTGAGGTATCAGGTTTTGATTTAAATCGTTTTCATAATGATTTGACGTTACAAATCTGCTAAGATTTTGAGATATTTTGAAATAAATTAAATAACGATGCAGACCCTTCGCATCACAATAATTTATACACCACTCCATGTCATTCGTCATTCATCATTAATAATCATAACATGACAGAGTTTTAATAGTAACATTTGCATCTATCTTCTCTCTTTTTTTATTCATCTTTTATTTATTTATTGCCCTATTATTTCAATATAAACTTGTTTCTGTTATTTTTTTTTTAATTCTTATGAACCAACATAACATTATTTAAAAACAATATTTTGAAAATCCACTTTCTTAACGTATGGAGAAAAGCTTCCACAACCACAAACTTATTTACCCAGGTGGGACCCATGATTTTGAACCTACCTTACTAACGGTATGGCCTAAAATCAATTCCACAACTCCATCATCATATTCTATTTTTTAACTCATAAGTCAACTGCGTAAGCCACATCCACAATATAAATTCAAACATCTAACTTCTCTTCCTACAAAATATTATGTAAATCACCCACTCTTTTCGATAACATTATTTTTCTCTTAATCTTCTAAATATGTTTCTGGTTCATATCAATTCACTCATCTCTTATAATTATGTAAGCTCCTAGTGCTGCAAACAATTCCATGATGACAAACAACACTATCCCTTGTTCATTGTCATGAATTCAACTTCAAAGTTCTCGTAAGAAATTCATGCAAATTATCACATTGAATTTTTGTATTTTTACAGATTTTACTATTAAATTTTTTTAATTTTGAAAAATTTAATCATTTAAATTTCAAAATTATACATATTTTGATGAATAAGATGAAAAAAATAAACGTGTGATCATATGACTAATAAATAAGGTGAAAAAGTTTATATTGAGTGAAATGTAAATATGGCATGCTACATTAATTAGAATATAAACCTTTGATTTTCTGAAATCTTATATCTAATATGTAATAATAAGATAAAATGAAAAAATTATATAAATTATTTTAAAATGTTGTAAATAAAAAATAGAATATAAATTATCAATATCAATTATGAGAATTTTTGAAGATTTTATCAAGACAGTAGCATAACCAATGTACAAGATATAATGAACAGTTCCAGAGTACAGATATTTGGAAATTGATTAATATTATATCCATTTAAAAAATTGAATAAAACATTTGATTAATTAATTACTTTTTGAAAAATAATTAAGCGTTATGAAAATTCATAAAAGTGTATAAATGTTTTTAAAAATATTATTGTCTAAAACTATTACGTTTTATATTTTCTTCCTTTTCCTCAACATTATTAAAGAAATTATGTGACTCACACTCCAACACAAAATTAATAATGTTATTGATGGTCACTTTAGTCCGTGAAATTAAATGTCTGGTGATAAATTTGTGAAATTGAGAGTTGAATAGTAAAATTATTAAAAAAAGTGATGGCAAAATATGTAATTTAAAATATAATTCATTTTAGAATGGTGGACTCATATTGGTTACGTTGTAATTCGACACCCAATTGATGGGAGGTAAAATGTATAATTTTGAAATTCAGAATAATTTTTCAAAATTAAAAATTTATTGTAAAATATGGTAGAGTGTAAAAGTTTAGCGGTAAAACATTTAATGAAGAAGTCTAAAATGTGTATTGAATGATGGAGAAATAAATTATAGTTAAAAATTAGTATGAAATAGTAATAACCATTTTTGGGGCATACTAAATATGGATAAGCAATTTTTCAAAACACACTAAATAAGTGACACAAATCATCAACAATTATGGAAAAGTAAAGTGTAGATAGAGTTTTATTAATTAGGTAATTAAATAATGTTGTTGATAGGGTTTTTAATCTTTTTGGTTAACCGGAGAAAAAAATCTTAAAAACGTTGCTGTGAATAATTAACTCTAATACGAATTGTCAAAGAAACAATTAAGACGAAAGAGGTCATTGACGTGGTCGTGGGCACAGGAAGGAGAGGTTGAAAATTGAAGGTTTGTTGTGAAAGAAAGAAAGTGTAGAGAGTGTGATACAAATAGTTGGCGTTGTTAAAAATTCTGTTGTCGTTTTCACGCCACGTGGTTATTGGTGAGCGGAAGTTGTTAAGTTGCAATGCGTGTGAAGAGTGAGGACGAGGATCCATCGTCAATCGGCGTCAGTGGATAGTGGTGAACGAAATCAAAGAAAATGGAGTACAAACAAAGCGTAAAACCACCACCACACAACCCAAACACACTTCACACACATCACAATTTTCCACCACAAGATGCATAAGCCTGCCACTACCCACATACATAACATATATATATATCTATCTATTTATTATTATAATAATAATAATAATTATTATTATATACTTTTCTTTTGTCTCTAGACAAGAGTATTTCTTTTATCATTTTCCCATTTGTGGTCGCGGTTGACTTGATTACATCGCCCAAACCATAAATTATGTCAGAGATTACTTTCTAAATTGGAAGGCTTGGTTGTTTGGTTGATTGATTTTGTGTCACAACCTCCCTCAGCCACAACCTCGCTTGAGGCTATTAAAATAGCCTTTTCTAGCTTCCTACCACTTTTGTGTCCCCTGTTATTATAATTTTGCTTTCTTATTATTCAGTTTGAAGATTTTTGTATCTGGTTTCGATAAAGGTGAATTCCATGTAAAAAAGCTTTGCCCCACTTGATGTGATTGCCGGCTGCAAAGCGATTCAATATTGATTAATTAATTAATGTTTATTGCGTTTTTATAATGATGCTAATACTAATCCACCCAACTAATCTTGGCCCGAGTAGACTAACTCCCAGATATTTGGCCACACATTTAAAGCAAAAAAATGAAAATATCTTTCTTAAAATACTCTATTCATTGCCAGAGCATCTCAAAATGTGGCTAGGAGTAGATAGTGCAGTTACGACATTGACCATGTACGACTATCGGTTGGTGAGTGTAGGTGTTACGTAAATCAAATAAATCTGAGCCAGATTTAATGTTAATATATTTAACTACATTAACAAGGAAGGGTGTGTTCGTGGAAAAGATTTGGGTTCCATATTTTAAAAGCTTAATTGCGATGAGTGGTGTAACTTAATAACGTGAGAGACACATGAAGCATGGGATGGTAATTACGCACTAGCGCAACTGCTACATCGTAGCAACTTCCTTCCTCCCACCTTCGAAAAAAGACAATAATTTATACTCAACTATTTCATTTAAATCTGTTTATTACCGTTATTAATTTATTTGAACTCTGATTTATTTTTCAACCCTTTTATTATGTTTTAGATGACAATAGTTAACTAGATATGTAAAGTTATACTTGTGAAGAAATTATATATTAATTAACAAATGTTCATGCTTAAATTTAAATTAATTATTATAAACTTATTTTACAATATATTAAAATTTTACATTTAATATAAAAAACAATATATCATGAAATTTTTAATAAATATAAATATTTATTATAGCTTTGCTTTTATGATTGGTTAAAACTCATAAAGTAGTGTGTGAGATACACTTCAGAATAAGATAAAAGAGTAAGCGTTGAAATGTTTAATTGCGAAAATAAAGAGAGCGTTTCACTTTTTAAATTTAATATTTTAATTTAGATAGAAAGAGTGAATGAAAGAAAAAATTGTTTAGTCTCTAAAGACTAAAATGTGAAAAATTCTAAATCAAAATTAGAAGTAAATGAAAAATAATTAGATAGTTGAATAGAAAACAAACCAATTTTAACTTAACTGTCTTAATTTTACAGCAAACACATAAATTAAATAAATTTAACCCAAAAATAATTTAATAAAAACTATAAGTCCATTTATATGAACTCGTTGTAATTAACGCTCTTAACTTTAGAATCCAAATAATCCAATGACATAATTTTTTAAAGTAAAAAATAAACTATATTAGAAGAAAAGGAGATATATGACTTCTAATATCAAGAATTAAACATTTTATCTTTTCTTTATATATATATATATATATATATATATATATATCAATCTAATAATTAAACTAAAATATTAATTTAAACTATTTGATTATAAAAAATAATACTCAAACCCATAAATTTTTAATATATATAATATAATTTTAATATAGTTTTGGTTTAAAAATTAAAACTTATGTATTATTAAGTAAGTTTATAATGTAATTTAATAGTTTTTTACGAATAAAATTAATAAAGTTGAATAATATGTAAATAAAAAAGACTTATAAATATAATGTTTTAATATCTTAGATTAAAGAAAATTTTATGTTTTCTTTCATTAAATTCAACAACAGTGTTCACGTTCTTCTAAAATTTTAACATTAGAATTAAATTGCTTTAACTCTATTTAATTCTCTATTTTTTTAAAAAAAATTGTAGATAATTATACATCAATAATACAAGTTATTGTATTTTACAAACATAAAATTATATTATTTATTTCAAAATAAATTATAAAATATACTTCGATTATTATAGTTTACTTCATTAATAAGTTTTAATTTTTAAAATTAAACTCTTAAACTCTACAGCCACTATAAGATAAAAAATAACAATAAAACGTTTATTGTTTATAGATTATCATAAATGATAATGTTAATAAAAAAAAGATAATAATTCATGTGACAATTGGAAAAAGTCTTATATAAAAAATATATTTTATTTAGAAGTAGAAAGAATGCCATTTATTTCTAATAATCCTATTATTGGTATATTTTATTAACCAATCAAACTAACTTTTTTATCACCATATATTATTTAAATAAAAATTAAATTTAAATAAATACACTTGATAAACTTTTAAATAAAATTTAAATAAATACACTTAATAAACTTTTGAATCGAATTGAGATACATATACATGTGTCCCATCTTCGACTCACCTAAATTCGTTTGCACCAAAAGAAAGAAATGTGGCAATTCCAAAAACCGTGTCGCACGATGTCTCACAGTCAATGACTTAATAAATTTATTTTCAAGTCGTAATAAAATATCTTAAAAATTGACAGCTTCAATAATTTCAGTCTAATTTTTACTTTTAGGCGCCAAATGCAGGTTGATTATTACTCTACGTGTCAAAATTCAATGTTTCATGCTTAACATTATCTAATTAATTGACTTTCCAAAGCCAAAAAGAATAACCTCAGAAAAGATGACCGCACACTCATCAAACAAACAAACAAAAGATAAACGCATAGTTTTAGCATCATTTCCCGTTCTTTACATCAAGAATACCATTACTTTTAAACAATTCAATTCTTTTTTAAACAAGTTGTTTAACTTAAAAATTCTCTCTCTCTACCATTTTATATTCACAATTATAATTATAATTAATATTAATGTTAAATATTTTTTTAAACGCTATTGCTTACATAATCAGGCTTCTTAAATTTTAAACAATTCAAAATTACATGTGCCAACATAGAGATTCCACTGTAGAGGAAATTGTTATTTAATGGATTTCCATAAACTAAAAGAAACTACCTAAGGGAAGATAATCGGAGCAAGAATTGATGTGTTGAATCGGGATTCATATTCATGTGCTTCTTGATTTTTCCTATCTATCTATTCATAAAATAAAGCATACTCACCTACTTATAAACAAAAAAAATTACAACAATAAAATAAAATACAAGTAAAAAGTTACAACACCCCACAACCTTCATCCTCAAAATATCAAAACAAAAAAATAATAATTAGAAAAAGAAACGAAGAAAAAGATCCATACAATTGATAGTCATCATCAAAAACTGAGTGCTGTTAGAGGAAGTTAAAGATCAAAGAGCCCATAAATAATATCCAATGGTACGGCCCCATAGATCACGCGGCTGAGATTCCGGGTGTCCCTTCAGATCAAATTTCAGAGGCTCTATCATCGTCATCGCAACCGTAGGGAATCACCGCCCTACCACTCCGTCGCTCCACCGCAACACCGTCACCTTCCAGGGCGGTTCGCCGCCGCAACCGAACCAACCAACCTCCTCTGTCCACTTCGCTTCGTTGAAGTCCCCAATTATTCGCATTCAAATTCTGCAATAAAAATAAATTAATATAATAAAGGCAAAATATTACCCGTGCTGGCTGTCGTTAGAACCGAGCATGAGAAATTAGCAAATAAATAAATTGATTGGTTCTGATTACATGACTTCAAAATAAATAATAATAAATCATACAATTAAAACATTAGTTAATGTAAACCTCCAAATCATTGTTCTTGCGACGTCTTTTCAATGTGGTTGAAACATCCTCGTAGACGTTGTTGCACCGGCTAACCGACTCTTCGCTGCTGGAAGAGCTCGGGGCGGGTGGCGGCGGCGGAGGCGAGGAGGACCAAGGTACAACCTGGTTGTCTCCGTCCTCGTCGGCGGCGACCTCGTCGTCGGTGTCATCATCGTCGTAGTCATCCTCTTCGTCTGTGTCTAAGTCGTCGTCATTGCCTCCTTGGCTCTCCTGACCTTGTTCGGCTGTTCCTCCGGCACACCTCTCGCAGAGGGAGACGGTATTGCCGAGGGCCGCGCCGGAGGCCTTCCAGGGCGTGAGTGACTGGCATGCGTGACAGAGGAGCGTGCGCGTGTGTCTGGCGACGAGGAAGTTGGCACCGTGGACCTTGGCGTCGCAGTCCCAGCATAAGCTGGCCTGGTCCGACTCGCAGAAGGTCCGAGCCGGAACCTTGCACAGCTCGCAGTTTTTCATCTCTAAACCCATGATTTATGATCCAGACTCTTCTGCTTTTCTTCTCTCTCTTTCACTTTGCTTTTTTTTTTGTCCGAAATTTTCTCTCTTTGATCTTTCTCTATCTCTCTCCTCTGCTGGTACAGTATGGTTGAATGGGCGTGAGAAGGAAGAGAAGAGGAAAGAAGAAACAAGTTGCAGAGATATATATAAAAATATTAATCCTTTGTTTAACAGTCAAAACCCCAAACTACCCCTCTCTCTATCTATTTAATTTAATACTCCAGTAGTTTTCACTCGGAATCCCCCATCCGCCCCTAAGGGCGCCTAAATTAAATTGTAAAAAATGTTTCCACCGTTGCTTGGGTTGGGTTTGGGCTTTTTTGGCATAAATATTTACTCTATTCAACCTGGTTTAACCACACTATTGAATAATTTTAGTAGTGTCACAATATTTATGGACAAGGCGCATGCAACAAATTGATTAAGACTCGAACTCAGGGTAAAGTGTATATGTTGAATTGACACAATATTTGAAAAATCGTGGTTAGACTTGTTCTATCAAACATATTCTAACAACATTTAACATTTAGAAGAACATTGAATCATATGGGACAAACTGTTGTATGAAGGAACGCATTGCACCTTCATGCACACCAAAAAAGTAACAAAGCAGAGGTTTTATACATCCCACATCAACGAGGCCAGTCAAAGACGTGTGTCTTATCTTATGCTCATGTAATAAGAAAGGAATAATAAGACACAATGATGAAGAGTTATCTATCTATGCTCATGTTCACCACAAAGTAGGATTCTTGAAGGAAGAGACATACCCCGATTTTTCCTTATTTATATGAATTTTAATTTCTGCGTACATTTAGTTTTAATAATTATATCTCTTTACTTTTACAGAAGAGAAGTGACATAAAGCATTAATTATTATATACCATTAGTGTATGGTTTTGTGTTAATGACTAATTATTAGCTGGATGATCTATTCTAAGTATAACTACTTCTTAAAATAAAGGAATTGAAGTGTGCCAAACTCTTCTTTATCTTAAAAAAAAATAAAAAAAATCAAGGCATACATTACTACTGACTTATCTCAATAAATTTTGTCTGACAAATTCTTCTAATTATTTTTTTTATGATAAATTTCATCATCAGACTTATAAATAAATAAATATTAAATTAAATATTTAAACACACTTTTAAATTAACTAAAAATAAATAAAGTCATATAGCTCCATACCAGGTGCAATGCAATGTATGTGGACCTTATGTAAGGAAGGTCTCATCACAGCTAAAAATCTATTATTCTCTGTGCGACATTAACTCAAACTGACTACATATATAAAGAAATTCACAATTTTTCATTTGATTTTGCTTAGAAAATTTAGCAGAGTGTTTCTTATTGTTAATTACAACTTGGTTTCAATTACAATATGCTAATATCGGAATGTTTAATTTAACTGCATCATAGTCTAAAACTTTATCTTCACACATGAGTTTTTTTTTTTGTTAAATAGAAGCGATGAAAAGAAAAACGTAATAATTATGGAGATAAGATTTAGACCATTGATGTGCGTAATCTTGTTGACACATTTGAAGAAGATAACAAGAATGAAAAAAATGGAAAAGAAGGGAAGGAAAGAGAGGAGGAGAGGGGTGGGTTTTGTGGTGTGCGGGGACGCCAGGTGTCTGCTGGGAAGGGGACAAGAGGGTTTCCGTTTTGTGTGGTGTTGGAGGCATGCATGATGGCATGGCATAGCATAACATAAATGCTTGGTTCCTTAGGGTTTTATTTAATGGATATTTTTCTTTGGTTGGGTTGAGGGAAGAGAGAGAAGGAAGAAGGTGTTTGTACGTGGCACATAGGCATTATGAAGATTCCGATTTCATTCACTGGGTGGAGACTCCGCCATGTGGATTTAGATGTGGTCATCTTTACTTCATTTGATTTCCCTTCTCTCTCTCTCTCTCTCCTATCGACTCTCATCATTCATTCACCAACTCCATAACTTGTCATTCAAATCAGAATCGCCCTTTCCGCCGTCTCCCATTCACGCGCCAGCTACTCGGGCCCACACCCACGTGCCCACTGCCACCTCGCCATTCCTAGCGCCTCTTTTTCAACTTTCCTTCTCTTCTCAGATTCTTCCAAACTCCAAACCGTCTACACTGCTTCAAGTTTTGTTCCTGTGTGCGCCGACGGCGAACGTGGACAACGCCGTTTTCCTCATCGCTTTCTCTCTGTTTATGATATGATTCCAGAGAATGAATGTTTACGGCCCAAGTAAGTCGCTTGCTGGGTCAACATTGGCGGGGTTCCTCCTCATGGAGAATTTTGAATATTCCATTCCATAAACAACCTTGCGAAAAGAATAAGGTTTTGTTTCTCAGTTCTAGTTTGGAGGTTTCGTGTTGTCGGTCCATTATCTTGGATAATTACGTTTTGGCTACATAGTATGTCTATGTATCCTTCACTTACTTCTTATGTAAGTATTATGATATATTCGCTTTTTTTTTTAATATCCATCTAATCACTTATTTTATATTACTATTTTATTTCATTATTTTTTTTATTGTTTATATCATATTTAAAAATATTGGATGAAAAAAAATCTTTTTCTTTCATCTAATACTTATAGAATGTAGAAAGAAATAATGGTTAAAGAGAAAATAGAAAAACAAAATGGATAAGATTTTTTCCCTCCATAATAGGAAATGGCTATTTTTAAAGGTGACTAACTACAACTTAATGGTATGTTGTATTGTAAAGTACTATATGTAGTCATACAAAGCGATGTGGAAAATATATGAAAGTGGCGTCAATACTAACACGAGGTGTCTAGCAAAAAATAAATGTCACACATTACTATTAATACAATATTATGTTAAATGCTATAGTTAGTGATTTTCTTTTAATTTATGATTTTTTTTACCCTATACCGTATTACTTTTATTATATGATATTTGATCACTTCATCCATAGTAATGGAAAGTGATATTTTTAATTAAGTTTTATATTTTAAAACAAATTATCATTTTTATATATGTTATTTTCATTTAATTAAATTTTTTTAACGTATTTGTATTAAAATAAATAATTAAAAATATTTAAAGACAAAATAAAAATATATTCATAAATTTAAATTATATTAAAAATATATTTTATTTCAGATACAATAATTTAATATATAAATTATAAGAACATAGATTTATTTAATATTAAAAATTAAAAAACTATTTTTTTAATATTATCATTTATTCTTTTATAATTTATTAATCTAAAATAATAAATAATTTTAATCATTAAATATTAAAATAAATAATAAATAAAAATTTATTTTCATATTTATTATTAAAATAAATAAATATTTTATCAAATTAATTTATAATATATATCATTAAAATAATATTATTTTTATTTTCATTTAAAAAATAATAATTATTTTATAAAATGAATTCTTCATGAATTTATAATTAATATAGTCTAAATCCTTATATATTATGGCTTAAATAAACTTGATTTAAGTTAAAATACAATTTTGGTCTTGTATAATTAGGTTGATCCATTGACATTTTTTGTTTTTCATGTTTGATTAGTACGGATAATAAACTTATGCCTAGAAATTGATATTCATTATCGAGTTCAATAACTAATTTATGGTTATTAGTTAGGAAGGTGTAAAAATAAATTATTTAAATAGATAGCTATTGGTGTTTCAGATTAAACAATTAAAATGTGTGATTAATTTTTTCTTCTCCAGCGGGCCCATATATTTATTGTGTGTATGTTTTTTTTCTTCTTCTTCTCTCTTCTCTGCAGGGTCACAAATAGAATCCGCCCAAAACAGTTAAGTGTTGCTGAAAATTCGTGAACCGTGAAAGTGGGGTACTGCTACTATTGTTGAATAACAAAATTCGTTGGGCTAAAAAAATATCTATATACTTGAAACCTGGTTCCTTCTGTGTACACACCCTATTTTCCATATATACACTACCTATTTTGCTAAAATATAAGTAGATTTATATCCAAAATACCCTTATATATAAAATTATAAACAGTATTATCTATATTTTAGAAGTACAACCAGTAAATTCCATAAAAGTTTACTTTGAAACACTCCCATAAAAGTCTTACACATCCATAAGAAGTTGAGTCCAAGAATTATATATATCTTTCTTAATTTATTACGATGTAATTTATAAATAAAAGTATGATGAATTAGAGTTAAAAGGAAATAATATGTCCAACATACACTCAAAACACGTAAATTTGTTTTTTTGTTTTTTAATTCAGGATACATACAAAAATTAAAAGATATAGTGTTTAAAAAATTATATTCTAGAATCAATGTTAAAAAATGTTTTAGAAAATGCTTTTCAGAAAGATGCAAGAAATTGTAATAAAACTGTTAATACAATTCTTTTCTCCTCATTTTACATTCGAGACATAATGTACCTCCACTAATAAAATAACCACGTTTCTTGCCAAACGAATGCGATGCATGACCACCCATATAGCTCCACTTGCAGAGTGGAACACTACTCATAAACCTACCAAATTAAATTGAATAAAACTTATAAATACATTATAAGAAAAAAATAAATTTGATTAAGTAAAGGTGAAAGAAGAATCATTATAAAAGAATGAAGCTAGACAATATAACTTCTAATTTCTCTGGAATATGAAATACCCGGCCATGGGATTTTTTTTTAAATAAGTTATAGTCGAAAGTAAATTATACTATTTTTACATTAAAAATAAATACAATAAAAAATATATTTTCACAACTTAATAATAAATATGAGAACATTTTTTTATCCTCGTACCAAAAAAAAAAAACAACGTGAAAGTGAAACTAATGTTTCTTAAATTCAAAATACAATAACATTTCTAAATGCCGTAAACAAACACCTATTGAAATATCAATAGCTCTCTCTAAAAACCAAATACTAATAACTCACCAATTCAATGTGTTAACTGAGTCCATAACCCCACTAAGTTTAATAACAGAGATGTGATATTACATTATACAGTTTATACAATGCAACTTTTAATGTCTATTTCTCTCACATAATTATATCAAGTAATAAAATTAGGAAGAAATTGTTCAAACGACCCAATACTCAGGCCCACTTCTCACTTATGCTAAAGGGTAATAATACCCACGTCTTCGCACACGTACCAAAAACAACATGAGAAAGAAGGGGAAAGTTCTCGAAAGAACACAGTGACCACGAAAACTCTAGCTCACTCTAGGGTTCCACCGTCCACCGTCGCAGCTTCACCAGATAAGCTCCTCCTCTCACTTCCTTCTCTCTATATACTTCACACGTGTAATAGACACACACACACTATGCAGGATAATGTGTTTAATTTGTGTATATATGTGATAAACTGAAAAGTATCATTGTATATTATTTCTGAGTTATGGGTACTCTTATATAGGAGAATACACCATTAATAGTTGGTTACAAACTAAAACCTGACAGTTAAACCAAAAACTGGAATTAAATTCTAACATCCCCCCTTAATTCCAGTATCAATACTCAAAATCCCTAGTTTTTCTTTGTTTATCTTGAACTTCTCTTTCTTCAAAGGTTTGGTTAGGATATCAGCTAGCTGGAGTTGTGTAGGACAATAAACCAGTTTCAACGTCCCATTTTTAACTTGATCTCGTATGGTATGTAATGGAAGCGAGTCTCAATGTGTTTGCTTCTGCCATGTGAAACCGGATTATTTGCAAGATTTATAGCTGACTTGTTATCAACAAGTAGCTCAATAGGTTGTTCCAATTCAACTCCTATCTCTGTCAACACTGAGTTTAACCATATAGCTTGACAAGCTGCACTTGATCCCGCTATATATTCAGCTTCACATGTAGATAGAGCCACCACAGATTGCTTCTTGCTCCACCAAGAAATTGGTGCTCCCATAAACATAAACACATAACCTGTAGTACTTCTTTTATCCACACCAGTCTGCATCAGAATAACCAACCATCTTTGTCTGTATTTCTTTAGATTTTGGAAATAATACTCCAAAATCTAATGTTCCCTTTACATATCTCATGACCCTTTTGGCTGCTAGCATATGTTTCTGCTTGGGTTGCTGCATGAATCTACTTAGGATGCCTACTGCAAAGCAGATATCTAGCCTATTATTGCAGAGGTACCTAAGAGACCCAACCACCTGTTTGTACAGAGTACCATCTACCTCACTTTCTCCATCTTCAGTTACTATAACTTTTCCCTCAGCTGGTGTTACTGCTATGTTGCAGTCCATCATTTCATACTTTGCTAGGATCTCCGTAGCATACTTCCTCTGATGTAGAATCAATCCTCTCTCAGTCTCCACAAACTCCATGCCTAGGAAGTATTTTAGTTTTCCTAAATTAGTCATTTCAAATTCTGTCATTAACAACTTCTTAAATTCTTCTATCTCGTCAATATTGCTTCCTGTAATGAGCAAGTCATCCACATATATACACATTAAGACTAGATCAGTCCCTCTACCATACTTCACATATACTCCATGTTCCACTGAACATTTCTTAAACTCTTGGCTTAACATAAAAGCATTTATTCTTCTGTTCCAGGCCCTGGGTGCCTGTTTAAGGCCATAGAGAGCCTTCCTCAGCCGATATACCTTATGTTCAACACCTTTCTTCACAAATCCAGGAGGTTGTGTAACATAAACCTCTTCTTCAAGCAGGCCATTTAGAAATGCAGATTTGACATCCATCTGGAATAAAAGCCACTTTCTCCTATTTGCCAAGGCTACTACCATCCTTATTGTCTCAATTTTGGCTACAGGAGCAAATACTTTTGTGTAGTCCAGCCCTTTCTTTTGTAAAAATCCTCTCACAACTAGCCTTGCCTTCCTTTTGTTAATACTTCCATTTGGATTCACCTTTAGTTTGAAAACCCATTTCAGATCAATGGGTTTTTTGTTACTGGGTAAGTCAGTCAGTTCCCAGGTGTTTGTCCTCTCAATGGAGTTTAATTCTTCTAACATGGCTTCCTTCCATAATTCTTGTTTCATGGCTTCATCATGATCTAATGGTTCAGCTTCTGCCATTAGTGCAAAATGCACCAAGTCTCCCTCACTTGTCACAGCATCATCTGGATATACTTCAAAATCCACCAGAGTTCGTGGTGGTCTTCTCTGCCTCACAACTCTTTGAAACTGGGGTTCTATCGTATTTTCTCCTGCTGTATCAACTTCTTCCTTTTCTTCAAAGAACCCTCTAGCTTGCTTGCCTTCCCTTTGTCTTTCATTCCAATCCCATGATTCTTCTTCACTTACCACAACATCTCTGCTGATACAAATCTGTTTGGAAACAGGATTGTATAGCCTATAAGCTCCTGTGGAGTGATAACCCACAAATATCATAGCCTCACTTTTATCTGCCAGTTTTGTCCTTTTAACATCTGGCACATGTTTGTAGCATTTTGAGCCAAATATCTTCAAATGCTTAACCCCTGGCCTATTACCACACCAAACCTCCTCTGGAACTTTATCTTCCAGCTTTTGTGTAGGACACTTGTTTAACAAATAGACAGGTGTTGAGACAGCTTCCCCCCATAGTGAATGAGGCAACTGTTTTTGTTTTATCATACTCCCGACCATGTTAAGTATCATTCTATTCCTTCTTTCTGCCAACCCATTATGTTGTGGAGTATATGGTGCTATAACTTCATGTTGCACACCATTCTATCTGCAGTAATCTTCAAAGTCATTTGACAAATATTCCTTTTCTCCATCTGTTCTCAAGATCTGAATCATCTTCCCACTTTGTTTTTCTGTCATCATTTTAAATTTCTTGAAAACAGAGAACACCTCTGATCTGACTTTGATCAAATACAACCAAATCATTCGGTTGTACTCATCAACAAATGTGACAAAATATTTATTTTGTCCAAGTGATAACTCCTCAAATGGTCCGCATACATAAGAATAAACTACCTGCAATACCTCCTTTGCCCTCATGTGCATATGTGTTTTGAAGGCATTTCTGGGTTGTTTTCCCACCAAACACCCTTCACACACCTACAGCTAATGTCTCAGGTAGTCCAGTCACCATCCCTTTATCAGCCAACTTCTTCAAACTGGTAAAATTTAAGTGCCCATACCTACTATGCCACAACCAACTCACTTCCTCTGCTGTAGTTGCTGTTAAACATTGATTTTCTGTCAAGAAAAGCCTTGTCTGAAATGTCCTGTTCTTTGCCAAAGGAGATTTCAGTACAAGCCTTTTCTTAGCATCATAAACTCTCAACATTTCCTCCTTCATTGACACTGAAAAACCTTTCTGCACCAGCTGTCCTACGCTCAACAGATTGCATTTCATCCCTGGCACATATAACACATCCTTTATCACTATGACTTCTTTGCCATCTTTCTTAATTACCACATTCCCAACTCCTTCAGCCTTTATGACATTGTCATCTGCTAGCTTTATCTTGCTGGATCTGCTGGTATCTATGCTGGACATCCATTCTTTGTGTCCAGTCATATGGTTGGAACATCCAGTGTCAAGAAACCAAGTTTCAACATCAAATTCTTCTTCACTGGTCGTTACCATAAGCACCACAGGCTCCTCCTCTGAATCATCTTGTGCTACTTTTGCCTCTGCATCAACTGGGCCCCTTTTTTGTCTTCCTTTTCCGTGCCAGCAGTCTGCTGCATAATGACCCAATTTCTCACAATTGTAGCATTGAATTTTCCGCATATCAACACTCTTCTTTCCTCCTTTGTCTCTCCAAGACCCACGTCCTCCTTGAGCCTTCTGATCTGTTTTCTCTCCAGAACCAGAATCTTGAGACAAAGAATTTCTTTCTTTGTTAAATCTGCCTCCTCCTCTATTCTTCTTCCAGTTTCCTCTGTCAGAACCACAACTTTTCTTGTTGATCTGGGCTTTCAAGGCCTGCTCATCCTCTGCCTTCTCAGATTTTCGCGTTGTGCGCTTCAACTCGTGTGCTTTTAACGTACTCTGTAATTCCTCCAGTGACAGGACCTTCATATTCTTGCCAGACCCTTCTATTGCCACTACTATATTATCAAAATTTTCTGTCAGTGTACGCAGAACCTTTTCTACTGTACTCAATTCAGTCACAGTTTCTCCACAACTTTTAATCTGATTGACGAGCAACTGCAGCCTATTGAAATAGTCTGCTACACTTTCGGTTTCCTGCATTGAAAGTAACTCATATTGTCTTCTTAAAGACTGCAACCTGACCTTCTTGATTTTTTCTGCACCACCATGAGCCCTCCGCAGTATTTCCCAACATTCTTTTGTTGTCTTGGCCTTGGCTATCTTCTCAAAATTCACAGAATCCACACACTGATGCAACAGACACCGAGCTTTGCAATCTCTCTTCTTGTTTACGGCTTCGTCCTTCTCCTTTGCACCTTCTGTTACTACTTCCCATAGTTCTTGATATCCAAGAATAGCCTCCATCCTTATGACCCAATGATCATAATTCTTTCCATCAAGAGATGGCAAATTAGAAAAAAAATTCCCACTGCCATTTCCATTTCCTGCCATACTGCAAATGTCCCTGGTTCGTAACCTGCTCTGATACCACTGTTCAAACTGGCCCAATACACTACAAAAAAAAAGCCTATTACCTATGGAATATTACCTACGGATGAAAATCCGTAGGTAAATTTTACATTACCTACGGATATTACCCACGGAATCCTATCCGTGAGTAATTATATTAAACTAAAAGAATTGTCACTAGCAAGAATCGAACCCAGTACCTTAAAGTTGAAAACTGATACTCCAACCACTAAACTATTAGGATATTCTAATAATAATTTATAACTAAATTATACTTATATTTATTCGTGTAAATATATAAATATATAAATATATAAATATATAAATACATAAATATATAAATACATAAATACATAAAAACATAAATACATAAAAACATAAATATATAAATACATAAATACATAAATACATAAATAGATAAATATATAAATATATAAATACATAAATATATAAATACATAAATACATAAATATATAAATATAAATATAAATATATAAATATATAAATATATAAATATATAAATATATAAATATAAATATATAAATATATAAATATATAAATATAAATACATAAATACAAATATATAAATATATAAATATATAAATATATCAAAATATAAATATAAATATATTTTATATTTATATATTTTATATTTATATATTTACACGGATAAATATAAATATAATTTATTTGTAAATTATTATCAAAATATCCTAATAGTTTAGTGGTTGGAGTATCAGCCTCCAACTCTGAGTGACTTGGTTCGAATCCTATCAATGACAATTCCCTTAATCTAATAATAATTCAAAGTTTCGAAAATATAATAAATAATAAAATTATAATATAAAGGGGAGGGGTAATAAATAAAAATATTAAAAAATTCATATTACCTACGACCAAATTACCTACAGATTTTACTGGAATTAAATTCTAACAGAAATAACAGAACAATTACCTAAATGGACAAAAATTATTGTTTACTAGCGAGGAAAATGTATGAACCAGGTCTTGATATCAGTAATCAATGATAAGGACACTATTAACGTGTCTTGCACTTTAATCTACTTTTGATTTTTTTGTTGAACATTCAACTTAGTTATCATCACCATATCTCAGTCATGAGAACTGAGTTAAATTACGACTATTGTAATAGTGTAAGTCTATCTTATTCGTATAGGTGAACAACAATTAAATTAACGTGTGGTTCGAGTACTAGTTGATCAGATAGCATTGGATTTCAACTGTTTGATAAGGTTATTATTATTATAGAGAACAAAGCTATCAAGGTGATTTGTATTAGCAATGAGGATTGATGAGGTTGTGCTGTCCTTCTCCCTTCTTCTCTCTTTGCCGCTATGCTTCCAAATATGTTTCGCTGGAGATACTTCGAACGCTGCCCAGAACATAACTCAGCTCTCCGGAGGGAACCTTGTTTCATCAAACAGCACATTTGAGCTGGGCTTCTTTTCTCCAGATGTCCAAAATGGTGACAAAAGATACTTAGGGATTTGGTATCACGGGCTGGAACCACAAACAGTGGTGTGGGTTGCCAACAGAGATGATCCTGTTGCAGATTCCAGAGGAGTTTTTCGAATTGCTGAGGATGGAAATGCGGTGGTAGAAGATGCATCAAAAAGGCATTGGTCGTCGGGACTTGAAGCATCCCCGTCCACAAACAGAACATTGAAGCTCCTGGATTCAGGGAACCTAGTACTGATAGACGACTCTGGAACGAGTTACCTGTGGCAGAGCTTCCAACACCCAACAGACACGTTTCTTCGTGGCATGAAAATGGATGCAAATTTAACGTTGACTTGTTGGAGGGACGCCACTGACCCAGCACCCGGCGACTACGTCTTCAAGCTGGGTCCTAGTCGAAACTTGGTAGTGAAAGAGCAATCACAACTTCACTGGACAGAGTCACTCGAAGAACTCGATGCAAGGATCTCTAGGTTTTTGGCCATCGCCAGGTATTCAAGTAACATCTCGCAACCTCACATTGACGTAAAATCAAGGCTATTAATGGATTCTAGCGGAGAGATACAGTTTCTGAAGTGGGACGAGGAAGATACACAATGGGTTAAACGCTGGTCGGGGCCAGATGGCAAATGCGAGGTATATAACCATTGCGGGAGCTTCGGGGTCTGTTACGAAAATAATTTGAATTTGCCTGAATGCAAATGTTTACCAGGATTCAAACCCAAGGATGGAGAAGGCAAAGGGTGTGTCAGAAAATCAACATCTTCTATAGACACGGATGTGACGTTCCTGAACTTAACCAACATACGAGTGGGTGACCCAGACAAAACATTCGACCCCAGAACACAAGCAGAATGTCAATCCTTATGCCTTAACAATACCAGGTGCCAGGCATATTCATTTAAACAAAAAATTCCTTCTAGAACGTCAGACGATAGTGATTACGTTAATACATGCAAAATTTGGACTCAAAATTTATCAACTCTCTCAGAGGATCATGATCGTGGTAATCTTTCTGTCCTGGTTAAGAGATCAGATATAGGTAATTTATATCTTCTTAATTTCATATCTTCCAGTTTTATATACTTAACAATAGAGAGGGACCGAACAAACTTCTACTCTGCATAACCAAAATCAGATGGGTAGTTTATTTCTTTGTGTGTGATGAGATATCTTGGTTTAGGGTAATATTTTAAAGTTCTTTATAAAATGTTTGAAAAAAAAAAATTCAGTATCAAAAATTATTTTCCCTATATATATATATTTTGTAATATAAAAGTGAAATATTTTTTTTATTATAATTTAATTTTTAACATATCTAAAATAATAATTAATTTTTAACTATTACATTATAATAAAATAACTTGAGAATGAATAATATGTTTATAATTTTTATTTTTAAAGTTGGTGGATCCCATTTCCACTTATAGGTGAAAGGTTAAGAAGGATTTATCAAATTTTTTTGAATGATAATCTAAAGAGGCAAGAAAAATGAGATGGTTAAAAAATTAGATAACCAATAAAATATTTTATTACTAACCCTAGTTTTTATTTTAATTTTCTTATCCTAATTTAAAAGTAACAATAGTTGCCTTAGTACCCTTATTAGGAGTATTTCAAAGTTTAAAAGATGAAAAAAAATTAGTCCTGTTGATCCTAATTAATAATAGTTGTTTTCTAATTAACTATTATATAAGCTAGACGAGTCATATTATTTTTCTATAATATACATTTTACTAATATAATACACAATTCAATTATATTTTTATGTAGTTAGCGATTCTTAATATAATATCAAGAGCTTATATGAATAGTATGATGCATGTTTTAGTAATAAGTAAAGTGTCTTGACTCTTTGCTAGATCATTTAGTAAATAATTAATAATTTTGAATTAGAGATTTGTAGTTTATTTATACACTTATCAGCTAAGTTCCACATTTTCTTTGTAATTGTGGTGCTTGACTCTAATAATTCATTGTGCAGTTATAACTCTCCTTTTAATGTAGGTGCATATTAGGGTATTTGAAGTTTAAGTATTCGCAAATTTTGGGTTTGAATGACGTACAAGTCTCATATTTAAAGGTCTATTATGTTGATTGGTAATAAATCATTATGTTACTAAACTCTAGATCTAATTAATTCATTACATATAAGTCAATATTCTATGTCCATAAGACTAACATCACAAAACATTTTAATCTTGAGATACAGATAAAGAGTCTCAAATAATAAACTATTTACTTGTCTATTGATCAAGATATTATATCAAGTCAATGTTTGATGTCATAAGAAGTTGACATCACAATGTGTACAAATTAAGCAAGTATTATTGACACCTACCAAGAAAAAAATAATATTTTCTTAAGAATTTTTCTATTAAATATATAATTGGTGAGTGATTCTTCATTAATTTTTTATCATTACATATGTGAGTATAATGATTAAGTAGAATTATTAGAGATAAAAAACGAAAAGCCTTTATGAGAGAATATAACCACGTAAAGAAAATTGAAGAATGATTAAAGTACAATATGATTGGCTTAAGTGTATACGTTAAAATTTTTTTCTTGTTTTCTATGAAAAGTTATTTGATAATTAGATAGTCAAAATAATATTAATTTTTGACTTTCATGATGTGATAAAATGGTGACAATTGAGTTTGTAAATCCTTGCAAAAATGTAATAGAGGGAGAAAAATTAACCTTCAAATAACAACAAAAATTTTCTAGGCAGACATAATTTTTTTTTATCTATCATGACTTAAAAGACATTTAAAAGGACTTCTAAGACGATTAAAAGAAGCATAGGAGTTGCTACTGAAAACATATAGTGATGAAGAAAAAAAAAATAAAAGGGTTAAGTTGTAATCAATATGAACTTCTTAGCTTAAAAGAAAAAAAATCAATTGCAAATGACTTTATAACTGAATCTAAGAATTAAGTGGTAGTTTAGATTTTGAGAACATTATCACCACAATTTGATCGCGTAATTGTTACAATTTAGGAGACAAAGGACTTATACACTATAAATATTGAACAAGAGAAAGGGAAAGAATCTTTAAAAGAGAATAACTCATACTAACCATAAATACTAGTATCAAAGATTTAGTGAAACTAAAGAAAAGAAAGCAGATAGGCAAGACATCAACTCTAATAGCATTAAGGAATGAAAATTTGTCGGGAAAAGGATAAAATGTTACAATTATTAGAAACATGGACATTATGTAAAAGAGCGTTGACAAGGAAGAGTCAAGAATAAGCCCAATAACAGTGCAACATGCAGTTCACTTCATTATTTAATACTAAAGTAGAGTTCAATTATTGATGAGTAATGATATTTTGACAACCAGAAACCATACAACCCTTTAAACAACTCACTTTTATTAATATAATAATCTATAGACTGATTTAATAAAAATAAAAATAAAATAAAATTATTATTATAATATTAAAATAGAGTTGTTTTCAGGAGTTGTATGAATTTGGGCTGTAAAATTATCATTTTCCATTCTTTATTTCATCTATTATACAATCCAATTCATTGTGTAGTGATTGTTAACCCAACTAACCGAATTAATATGTTGTTGCGCAGCAGCAACTGCAAAATCGTGTGAACCTTGCAGCACATACGAGATTCCTTATCCGCTAAGCACTGGGCCAAACTGTGGAGATCCTACGTACAACAAGTTCAATTGTAATGAATCGATGGGCCACGTTAGCTTCACGATGCCTGGAGGAATATCATACCAAGTTACTTGGATAGATGAAGACACCAGAATGTTTTACATTGAAACAAATGATTCAGATTTCTGTGTTTCCAGAAATCAAAGTAACACACCTAAATTCCCGTTTAATATGTCAGAGTGTTCTAAAAATGATGATAATGATGGAATGATTAAAATCAATTGGGCACCAGCACCAGAACCGCCCTGTAGGAAGCCCACAGACTGCGAGAATTGGCCCCATTCGACATGCAGAAAAGGAGAAAACAGGTGCCATTGCGATTCACACTACAAGTGGAATAACTCGATTATGATATGTGCCCAAGGTTAACCTTCTATTATTACATGTCTCGCTTTCACTTTACTGTTTGCTCCATTATTTAAAAGCACTAAATTTATCTAATTCATACTTATGTTATCTTTTACGTAATTTTATTTTATAGTTTATATTCTTTTTAAAAATAAAATCTTTCAAGACTGCTTACATATGCTTATATATAACTTACTCCCTTCTCTGGACAGAAAAGCATTCAACCAACCAACTGGCAATGACTTTAGTAATTTTTAGTAGCGTGGTGATTCTGGGATGTATAATAACTTTTGCCATTGTGTGGAGAAAGAGAAAAGCTCATAAGCTTGGTAAGAAATTTTAGTTCTGCATGATGAATCAAAACCTTTTTGTTTTCACTCATGTAATTGATTATATATACACATGTCTTATGTGGGAGTTTAGACGGGGCAAGTAGTCAAATTCAGCAGAGCTTGTACGAGAGTGAAAGACATGTGAAAGGTTTGATTGGCTTAGGAAGATTAGAAGAAAAAGACATTGAAGGAATTGAAGTGCCCTGTTATACTTTTGCAAGCATTCTAGCAGCTACAGACAATTTCTCAGAGTCTAACAAGCTTGGAAAAGGAGGTTATGGACCTGTATATAAGGTGATCGATTAATTTCATATAGCTTCATTACTCACCTAACCAAGAGTACATGTACAAGTTTCTCATGATATATGGAAATTTTTTTATGCAGGGAACGTTTTTTGGAGGTCATGATATAGCTGTAAAGAGACTTTCAAATGTTTCCACTCAAGGCTTACAAGAATTCAAAAATGATCATGAGGTTATTCTAATTGCCAAACTTCAACACCGGAACCTAGTTAGACTCAGAGGCTATTGCATAAAAGGAGATGAAAAGATCTTACTTTATGAATACATGCCAAACAAGAGCTTGGACTCGTTTATATTTGGTTAGTTGGCCATATTTTATCGTATATCTTCCCAGTAGTTCTCTCAATTATTGCAAACATAAATTTGCTAACCTTTTCTTTATTTGAAATGTGAAATGTACATGTCGAAAGACCGAACACGAACTTTACTACTGGATTGGCCAATGCGGTTCGAGATAATTGTAGGCATTGCGCGAGGCTTGCTGTATCTTCACCAAGACTCCAGATTGAGAGTGATTCATAGAGATTTGAAAACCAGCAACATTCTTCTGGATGAGGAGATGAATCCAAAGATATCAGACTTTGGACTGGCCAAAATATTTGGAGGAAAAGAAACTGAAGCAAGTACAGAGAGAGTAGTGGGAACCTAGTAAGTTCACCAAACCTAGTGTGAATATATCTTTGTTAATATACTGAATTTGATATTACACACAAGCATGTAACGTATAACAATAATCTTTTGGCAGTGGGTATATGGCTCCAGAGTATGCATTGGATGGACTTTTCTCAATCAAATCTGATGTTTTCAGCTTCGGAGTAGTCCTTCTAGAAATTCTTAGTGGAAAAAGGAACACAGGATTTTATGAGTCCAAACAAATTTCTAGCCTTTTGGGTCATGTATGTTTCTTGCGTTGCTATTTTGTGTAATGTATGTTTTTGTGACTTTTTTAACTTTTAACAATAATTTCTCTGGAGCTCGTCTCAGGCATGGAAGTTGTGGACAGAGAATAAGCTACTGGACTTAATGGATTCATGCCTTGGTGAAACATGCAACCAAAATCAGTTCATTAAGTGTGCAATTATTGGGCTATTATGCATACAAGATGAACCAAATGATCGACCCACCATATCAAATGTTTTGTACATGCTTGACATTGAGACTTCAACCATGCCATTGCCAATTCCCACACAACCAACCTTTTTTACGAACAAGCGTTTTTCTAGCTCAGCTTCCTCTTCTAGCAAACCAGAAACAAGCCTGCAATTTGAGAGCAGTTATCAAGAAGGTCGATAGTGCATGATGGAACCTATAGTTTTAATACATGAAAAATATTTAACGGTTAGTTTATTTGTATTTCATAATAATTTAGGGTGTTTTGTATTATTTTTATATTTCCTTTTCAACTAGGAGTTTGAATAGAAGTTAATGTTTTATGTTTTAGTTACACATTTTATGTATATCATACTTTTGTATTCCCTTTGACGCAATTCTCCTTTGTGGTTTAGATTCCCATTTAGTAACAACTAAGAGAGAGACTGTAGAAAGAAACACACGTACCATAATAACTAAGACTAGTCTTCCATTGAAAAATAATATGGGTTGTTGATCTCTCACATAATAGAAGTCCAAGCAAAAATGGAAAAAACCTTGTGTTATTGTCGCATGCAAGTCAAAGTCGTCGGGTGAGTCTGGCTGTGCTAAAAAAAGACAATTTCCCATGTGTAATTTGTTTTTATTATTTTTAAAATGGATAAAGCTTTTAAAATTTTTGGTTAGAGATAATTCGTGCATTTATATATCACTTCTTTATATCTCAGTTTTTTTTAAATCATATTTAAATACGATTTTAAAATGATTTTTTTTATCTCAATTTTTTTAAGTCCTATTTAAATACACGATTTTTTTCAAGTTACTTTTAAATGACGAATTTAATTGATTTTTTCATTAATTTAACGATGATCACTAAAAAAAAAGGCTATTATTTATGGCCAAAATTTGTAGATAATGACAAAATCTGTAGATAATGACAAAAATTTGGTTATATTTAATTAAATTTTTAAATTTTAAAACTTTTTTTTTACTAAAAAATATCCGGAAAAAAAAAAGACAACGAAGTGATAATAAAATCAACTGTCTAACTCAACCTAATCTAATCTTATAAGTTAAAATTAAATAAAAAAATTTAATTATTTAGTCCCATATTTTAAAACAAGTCGAAAATTTTAATATAATTTAACTTATATTAAGTTAATATATTAACAAATCAATTTAACCTAAATTTAAAAATAAAAATATTAATATATTTATACAAAATTAATTAATTAAAAAATAAAATAAAATAAAAAATATATTTTAAAAATTTAAATTTTATTAAACCCTCGCTCTTAAATTCTAAACTCTAAATTTTATTGATAAAATTAATTTTTATTTAAAATATAATAATTTAATATATAAATTATAAAAAATATATCTATTTAATATCAAAATAAAAATAAAAATCTTATTTTTTTATTACTTATAATAATTTATTAATTAAAATAATAATTAATCTTAATTATTAAATTTTAAAATAATTTTTATTTTAATATTTCCTTTTAAAATAAGTACATTTTTATTAAATTAATTTATAATATACATATATTTTTAAATAAAATAATATTATTTTTATTTAAAAAATAATTACGAATCAATTTATAAATTTACAAATTAATATTATCTAAACTTATATTAATCATGACTTGTGTAAATTAAACCAAAAAAAATACTATTGAATTTAAATAATAAAATTTCATATCACATTAAATCTATTCTGAACCCTTTGAATGAACAGGTCATGACGGCTAGGTGAGTTCTGACTAGTGGTGTAGACTTTGACTCTATTTTTTTTTTTAAGCCACTTAAAAAGTGGAAATATTATATCCAAATCCACTAGCTTAATGGAAACAAATAAGAGAAGACAAAAATATTTAAGAAAACAAAGAATCCAATATGTGAATAAAAACTATTAGAAATATATAATTAAAAAACAACGAGAAATAAAGAAAAATAATAATTAGTCTATTTATGTTTAAAATAATTTTCAGCATTGTCTTTCATCCAATCAATCCAATTTAATAACAAAGGCAGTGGGGTAGGATAGATTAAAAAAAAAAACTTAAAAATTAATTTTGAAATTAAAATGAATATTTTTCTTATAAAAATCATTTTAATTATATTTTCAATTAAATAAATAATGTGTAATTGTCTATATTTTCTTTTATTCGTTTCTTCTTACTTACGAATTATAACATTATTCAATAATTGAATAGTTATTTTTCTCTCTTTATCAATTATTTAACTCCGTAAATATCTAAATTGTGTATATCTCTCCTTCTATTTGTTATACAACTCCTTCGACAATTAAATATTAAAAAAAACTTATTCAAATAATATATATATATATATATATATATATATATATTATTGATTGTGAAATTAAATCATTTTATGTATATGAGTTCGCGGTAGTATTATTTATCGTAACTGTTTTCCTTTTTTTTTTCTTCGCTAGATGTAGAATATTACATCAGAATTATCTCTGTTCAACATGCCAAGTGAGACAAATATGCTATGATTACAATTTGTGGCTCGTAGAAAGATTAACATTTTTTTTTTTGAGAAAAAAAGATCGACAAGTAAGCGCACCAAATTATCTGGAGGGTGAAATACCAGTTGATTTGATAGCATTTGGTTGCAAATTTTTGAGAAGAAAGAAGGACAAGAGGGACAACAACTATAGTTTGCATTAGCCATGAGAAGTGAGGAGGTTGTGTTGTTCTTCTCCCTTCTTCTTTCTTTGCCGCTATGCTTCCAAATATGTTTCGCTGGAGATACTTTGAACGCTGCCCAGAACATAACTCAGCTCTCCGGAGGGAACCTTGTTTCATCAAACAGCACATTTGAGCTGGGCTTCTTTTCTCCAGATGTCCAAAATGGTGACAAAAGATACTTAGGGATTTGGTATCACGGGCTGGAACCACAAACAGTGGTGTGGGTTGCCAACAGAGATGATCCTGTTGCAGATTCCAGAGGAGTTTTTCGAATTGCTGAGGATGGAAATGCGGTGGTAGAAGATGCATCAAAAAGGCATTGGTCGTCGGGACTTGAAGCATCCCCGTCCACAAACAGAACATTGAAGCTCCTGGATTCAGGGAACCTAGTACTACTGATAGACGACTCTGGAACGAGTTACCTGTGGCAGAGCTTCCAACACCCAACAGACACGTTTCTTCGTGGCATGAAAATGGATGCAAATTTAACGTTGACTTGTTGGAGAGACGCCACTGACCCAGCATCCGGCGACTTCACCTTCAAGCTGGGTCTTAGTCGAAACATGGTAGTGGAAAAACAATTGCAACTTTACTGGACACTTGATAATCTCGCTGCGGACCCGTTAACCGTGACATTGTTGAACACCGCCAACGGGTCTACTAATTCAGTCAGAAATATTTCAAATAGAGTAAACTTACTTAACAGTTTTAACAAACCAAGGTTGTTAATGAATTATAGCGGGGAGATACAATTTCTCAAGTGGAACGAGGAAGACTCGCTATGGAGTAAGCGCTGGTCGTGGCCAGATAACGAGTGCGACCTACATGACCACTGCGGGAGCTTTGGAATCTGTAATAAAAATTATGGGGGCTGCAAATGTTTGCCTGGATTCACTCCCAGAAATGATGGAAAAGGGCAAGACCAGAAAGGGTGTGTTAGAAAATCAACATCTTGCACTACGGACTTAGTGTTCCTGAACTTGACCGAGATTAAAGTGTTTGACTCGCCAGACCAAGAAACTATTACACGATCAGAAGAAGATTGCAAAACCTTATGCCTGGACAATAACAGGTGTCCCGAGTCGCAGTGCCAGGCATATTCATATAACACTTCTACTTCTACATATAACCGTGATTTTTCTAAATGCGAGATCTGGACACGAAATTTATCTACTCTTGTAGAGGACTACGATCGTGGTCGTGATCTTTTTATCCTGGTCAAGATATCAGATATAGGTAATTTAATTCTTCTTAATATATCTCTTCTTTACTACACCTTGATTTACATTGTTTCCAACTTAACAAAAATCGAGTTGGGAGAAAAAATTTGAGTTTCATTTGGTTAAAGACTAAATTCTTTTTTGGAAATTAGCCAAGTTGTAAATCAGTGTTTTTATCAAAACTAGTTAGTGGTATGCTGGGCTACTTTCTTTCGTTGTGTATGATAATATACTTCCAAGAAACAATTGAAACATCAAGATAATAGGCGTTATCGTGTTAACCTGTCAATTGGATGGATTAACAGATAAAGCAAATGAAAACATGGTAGCAACATGATTTATGGTTGAATTATATATGTTGTTGTGTGTGCAGAACCAACTGCAAAGTCGTGTGAACCTTGTGGTACACATGTGATTCCTTATCCGCTAAGCACTGGACCAAACTGTGGAGATCCCAGATACCACAAGTTCAATTGTAGCAAATCAACAGGCCTCGTTAGCTTCCTCATGCCCGGAGGAAAATCATACCAAGTTACTAAGATCGATGAAGAGGGGAAAATATTTCGCGTTAAAAAAGATGATTCAGATCCTTGTAGTTCCAGATTTCAAAACAGTGCACCTGATTTTCCATTTAAGGGATTTGATTGCAATAAAGAGACAATTGATTTCAGTTGGCAACCAGCACCAGAACCGCTCTGCAGTAACCGTATAGACTGCCAAATTTGGCCCCATTCGACATGCATATCAACAAGTGATGGGGGAAGCAAGTGCCAATGCGATTCAAACTATAGGTGGAATGACTCAATTATTGGATGCACCCAAGGTTTGCATTTTATTATAAATCTCTCTGGTCATCTTTATTTTTCTCTATTAATAGAATAAGCAATCTTTGCTAGATCAGGAAGATTTTTATCCTAATTTGCATGTGTTTCCTTTCTGCCAAGCATTGTTTGTCAAATTGCCAAATCCAATTAAGAAAAATCTTTGAGAGATTTTCTTTAGCATGTTTATGATTTTTTTGCTGCTCCCTCCCCGGTTGAAATAGTTCTTGTCCTGCAAACTCCTTTGAAACAATGTATTGACTAAATGTTTGTCCTCTTACTTTTCAGCGACAGAGGAAAAGTCATCAAAAAATCATTCAACCAGCCTGGAATTGGTTCTTTTAGTAACTCTTGGTTGCATGGCTACTGTGGTATGCATAGTAGCATTTGGATTTGTGTGGAGAAAGAAAATAGCCCATAAGCTTGGTAATATTTTTTAGTTTTTCACGTTGAATTAAACATATTTTATCTTCACACTTATAATGAAGGTTATCTTATTACCGAGTTCAGATCGGGGAAGCACCATAATTCAGGAGAGCCTGAATGAGAGTGAAAGACATGTGAAAGTTTTGATTGGCTTAGGAAGTCTGGAAGAAAAAGACATTGAAGGCATTGAAGTGCCCTGTTATACTTTTGCAAGCATTCTGGCAGCTACAGATAATTTCTCAGATTCTAACAAGCTTGGAAGAGGAGGTTACGGGCCTGTGTACAAGGTGATTTGTTCAGTTCATTAAACTTACCACCTACGTTGCATTGAGTCCATGCAAAATGTTGTCATGATATATGGAAAATTTTTGATCCAGGGAACCTTTCCTGGAGGTCAAAATATTGCTGTAAAGAGGCTTTCAAGTGTTTCCTCCCAAGGTTTACAGGAATTCAAGAATGAGGTTATTTTGATTGCCAAACTTCAACATCGGAACCTTGTTAGACTTAGGGGCTACTGCATAAAAGGAGATGAAAAAATCCTACTTTATGAATATATGCTAAATAAGAGTTTGGACTCGTTTATATTTGGTTAGTATAGCATATTCCATCACATAATTTCCCTAAAATACACTTGAATCATTTCTGTAATTTCTTTTTTACTAATTCTTAATTTGACATGTGAAATGTATATATTGAAAGACCGGACACGAACTTTACTACTGGATTGGCCAATGCGGTTTGAGATAATTGTTGGCATTGCTAGAGGGACGCTGTATCTTCACCAAGACTCCAGATTGAGAGTGATTCATAGAGATTTGAAAACCAGCAACGTTCTTCTAGACGAGGAAATGACTCCAAAGATATCAGACTTTGGCCTTGCCAAAATATTTGGAGGAAAAGAAACTGAAGCAAGTACAGAGAGAGTAGTGGGAACCTAGTAAGTTCAACAAAGTACATGTGATTGTGAATGCGTTATTGTTAATTCTCTGAATGTGATGTTCAATGCAGGTTTACTACATATAACATTAATTTTTTTATTTTTTTTAAGTGGATACATGGCTCCTGAGTATGCTTTGGATGGGCTATTTTCAGCTAAATCGGATGTTTTCAGCTTTGGGGTAGTCCTACTAGAGATTCTTAGTGGAAAAAGGAATACAGGATTCTATGAGTCCAAACAAATTTCTAGCCTTTTGGGTTATGTATGTTTCTTGTGTTGCACTCTCTTGTTATGTCTTTTATGTTTTTGTGACTTAAGTTGACTTTTGAATAATTTCTCTTGACATTGGATCAGGCATGGAAGTTATGGTCAGAGAACAAGCTACTGGATTTAATGGATCCATGCCTTGCTGAAACATGCAACAAAAAACAATTCTCCAAGTGTGTAGTTATTGGGCTATTATGCATACAAGATGAACCAAATGATCGACCCACTATGTCAAGTATTTTGTACATGCTTGATAAAGAGACAACAACCATGCCAATTCCCAAACAACCTACCTTTTTCATGAACAAGCGGTTTTCTAGCTCACCTTCTTCTTCCAGTAAACCAGAGAAAAGTTGGCAATTTGAGAGCAGTTACGAAGAAGGTCGATAGTGCGTCATGAAACCTAATGCTTTTCAATACATGAAAAGCATTTCATGGTATTTTAATTGTATTTTATAATAGGTTCGGGTTTTTTGTATTATTTTTAAGGAATACCTTCCATATTTCTTTTTATTGGGACCGTGAATCATTATAAATAAAAATCTAATGTTTTATTTTTTTAATTTGTTAATATTTTATTTTTTAACTCGATATATATACATTTTTTATTTTGGAGAAATACAAAAAGCAATGTTAAAACATATATATATTTAGAATAGATATTCGTACAATAAAATGACACTCACATCTATCTAATTTTTAAATACACGTTCATATTTCTTGCATTTTTTAAAGTGAGTGATGAAATCTTCATTTTTAGTTAAACAGTAATGGGCCATCTCTCTTTCTCATAGAGGGCCTTTATAAACAGCATTTTCAAGTTCAGGTAGGGGCTAAGGGGCTATAGCCCAGCCTGAAGATTATCATAAAAGCTGGAACCCAATCCTCACTAGAAAAAGGTCATTTATTAATTAATGAAAAAAATGTTTTTTTTTACAAAATAATAAATAAATTATTGAATTACCAGTAGTATTTATTTGTTCGATATCAAATCATCAGTTAGATATTATGTACTTATACTAAAAACAAATTTGTATTGTATGTCAATATTATGTACATAAATACATAAGTAAATGCATGTGATACATACTGTGTTTAGTGTAAGTATATTTACTTTTTTTTAAATTAGTAATTCTATAATTTAAAATTATTTCACATACAAAGTTAAAATTAACTTTTGGAGATGATCATAAAAAGGTGAAAAGATAAATTATTTTTAAATTTTAGAATGGGGGTATTACTTGAAAAAAAAAAAAAAAACAAGACATATGTAATCCGTGCTGCTTGATTTGTACACCTATGACCAGTAACCACGGTTGAAGAAATTTCTTTACTTCAAATCCATAAATTTCAACCATCACATTGTCGTAAAGCTCACATGAGCTTGACGAGAGGCATAGATTTGTAAACATGGCGTTAACTAGATGTTCACATGAAACTGATGAGATGCGTCCACTGCTATTTGTGTTGCTAATTCTGACCAACACCCATTGCTGTTATTTATGCCTGGTTCACAACAATAAAAATGTTCTCAGGTAACAGTGTTCATACTAGGTTGTTGGTCAATAAATTAATTGAAGAGTATTTTGCTGCTAAGACATGTTCACACTAGTGCCCTTAAGTTCCTTCCAACTTTTCACGCGTAGTCATTTTCGAAGCTGATAGTCTGATACTATAAAGCAACAAGGTTGTGCGTCATGCTTATTCCTCTATTTTTTTATGAACAACATAAATTCTATACCATAACATGTTTTTATTTCTTTATTTCTTTATTTGCGTATGTTGTCTGAGAATAAATCATTCTAAAAATGCCTCATGTTTTTCTATTAAAAGTTAATCTAAACACGTTGTGGCCGCTGGTCATAGAACTCTCTAAATTTTCCTTCCACCGTCACGTCCCTAACTTGAAATTCTCAATTGACGATTTCATTATAAAGTCAAAATAGGAAAAATATATTGCAGAAATAGATTGGAATAAAATGCTTTGTGTGATTCAGAAATCTTTCAATTCATTATCCAACCTTCATCAACTTAACAAAAGTAAAATATTATAAAAAAAAAACATTATTTTCAACTCAAATTCAAAATAAAGTGAAATTTATTTTAATTTTCAATATGTAGTACTGTTAAAAACATTCCACCGAACACTGTATTAGATGACAAATTCATTAGCCTGCATTGGGTTCCTTGTGAGTTGTGTCAGAATAAAGTGGTTGCATATTTGACCCAATCCTTTGATCCCCTTTGACAACAATCTCCTTGGTTCCATTTCCACAAAGTCAATCATGATAGAAATGGTTAAAAACAACATTTTAATAGTTTAACTTATTTAAAAATAAATAAAATTCTCATTCGTAACATTTTAAAGAGAATTTAATTAATATTATTTCCTTGCCAAAATGTTCGTTCCCAGCACCTATCTACCATATATGTACTTAATTTAAGTTGCAAATGTCTAAATTGAACAGATGTAGCGTGCAAGCAGTGTAGTCGATGAGGAACTTAGTCAAATCTGATTAGACAAAGATGTAATGAAATTGACAGAAAAACCCCTGACAAAGTTCTCGGAAGCAGGGAAGCAATTGCGGTTTGTTCAGCAGTGGAATGAAAGCCATTGAGCTAATAAATCTTTGTTTCTTAACTCTCATGGAACCAGGCTTCACCAAGTTTCTAATCTCCTTCCTTCAACCCACTTAACATGCATCTATATAAGCACCCCAATATTCGTCACCACCATTCTTCATCACCTACATACAACATATTCCCATTCTAAACCTACACCCTTGATCTTTGAACAAGATGACTGGGATTGGCAAGGGAGTGGAGTTCGAGGACTTGTTACCGATGATCGCCGGTAAGCTGGGGGGTGAGGGTCTGATTGATGAGCTTTGCAAGGGTTTTGAGGCGCTGATGGACAAGGAGAAGGGGGTGATCACCTTGGAGAGTTTGAGGAGGAACTCTGCAACGATGGGTTTGCAGGATCTTAAAGAGGATGAGCTTGCGAGCATGATGAGGGAAGGAGATCTGGACGGTGATGGTGCACTCTCTCAGATGGAGTTCTGCGTTCTGATGTTCAGATTGAGTCCACAGTTGATGAAGGACTCGTGGTTTTGGTTCCAACAGGTTCTTCACCACCAACTCCACCACAGCGATGACAATAACGCTTCTCTTTAAACTATAATCTCGAGGATTTTTCGACAAACATATAATACCTTATATTTTCATATAATATATAATATTTGTTAGTATTTCATATTTAATCTAACATCTGAGTTTTTGCAGTCTTTGCCCAGAATGAATTTTTGGTGTAGTTGCTTTGAATGATAGATATATATTGTTCAGTAATAAAGATTCGTAATAGTTTCGTTTAAGTTCATTCCTAAATTTTACACTCATCTAAAACAATACTTACACAAAATTTAATCTATAATTTTTTAATTGTTGAAATCGTGTTTCTTATTTTAAACTTCGATATTGATTTACATATAATAACCAAAAAAAACTTATATAAAACATTAAAGAGCTTTCGCAATTGAAATGTGGATTCCTGGACCCTATTTTTGTTTTTATTTAAATATTTTATAATTATTTTCAATTCATACTGTCTCTCGTCTTCGTTACATTTCTATTTATTATTTATTAATTGGAAACTATAGTGAGAAACTTGATTTTAATAATTGAAATTGTATAAAGGCAGATTTAAACAGTTAAAATTAAAGAGACAAAAGTGTACATAAGTTCTAAAAATGTTAGTGCAAATAAGTTTTAATATAATTATGAGTTAATGTGTATTTAACTGTATATATATTTTGTTTGCATTTGATCTTTTTTTGGACTTTTTTAAACTCAACGAGAAATTCACTAATTATTTGAAAAATATGCGAACCGGTATAATTAATAAGATAAATCTTGCTCACACCAGTAAAATTTCAAAATATTTTAATACCCGCAGAAAATTTAAAGGCAAAATTTGTGCAGTTAATGATAGAGATAAAATTCTCCTTAAAAAAAAGTTAACAGAGGCAATTTAAATCAACCAATAATTATGATATCAAAGTTATATATTAGAGTAATTCTTTGATTACAAATATAAAAGTTTGGAAGTGGTCGGCAATGTTCCGAACAGTTTTATTAAAAAACATGGTTTTTCCCTTTTCTTGTCTTGTTCTTTCCCATAAATAATTTTAATCATGTTAGAAAATTCTAAACTGAAACCTTACGCATTTTCGGAGGAAAATACGCGAAGAGGAACAAACTTATAAATTTAAGAGAACTTTCATATATATATTATTACATCATTTGTTAAATTCTTTATTTTCTCTTTCTTCGTTTTGTTATCACACTTCATAAAAACATTCACAATATGGTTTTTCTTTTATTTAAATGCAATACTAAACCTAACTGAAGTCAAATAAATATTTTTATGATTTTGTTTGTTTCATTTTATTAACGTTACGCAATATTTTAATTACTGATTTTATAACGTAAAAATATGGATCCCATTGAGAATTTGGGAGAAAATAGTAGAAAAGAAAAAACTGATCTAATTCATATACTGATCGAATACAAAAGGAAAATCCAATATGTTTGAGGAAGAAAAGAAGGTTAAATATAAAAAGGAAAAAGTCAAATATGCAGCTTAGTCAAACCCGCATAAAACAATACTAACAAATGGAAAAGGTACACGTGTAACTAATAGACTAATAGCCTCCCCTCAAGCTGGAGAGTGAATATTAAGAACACCCAGACTTGGAAATATTGTTAAGAAAAGGTGAAGGATCGAGAGCTTTGGTGAAAACATCTCGCAAGTTGATTTGTAGAGGAAATGGGAAGAAGATGGAAGAGGTTGGCCTGCACACGATCTCTCGACCACATGACAATCAATGTCAATGTGTTTGGTGCGTTCATGAAAGCTAGAATGAGTAACAATGTGACGAGCAGCTTGGTTATCACAATAGATGACAACTTGATTGGGCTTGAAGATGTTGAAATCATGAAGCAAGTAATTGAGCCATTGAAGCTCGCAGCTGGTGATAGCAAGAGCCCTGTATTCTGCTTCTGTTGAGGAACGAGAAACATTGTGTTGTTTTTTTTATCGCCAAGAAATCAACGAATTACCCAAAAAGATACAGAATCCAAGTGGTAGAGCGACGAGTTGTCAAACATGAAGCCCAATCTGAATCACTAAATCCTTTCAATTGAATGTTGGAATTGGAAGAGAAAAACAAACCTTGACCAGGATTAGCTTTTAAATAACGAAGTATACGATTAGCGCAGCTTGATGGAAGACAAGTGGGCTTTTGATTAAACTGATTTAGAAAATTAACAGATGAAACTTATATCTCGGTCGCGTATTTGTAAGATACAAAAGTCGTCCAATAAGGCGACGATAAGCATCTGCATCACAAAGATCAGCATTATCATCGAAAAACAATTTGGTGTCCTTGATAATAGGAGTAGAACATGGTCGAGCAGCCTAGATGACCACCGTCGACAAGGATATCAAGAGTGTATTTGCGTTGACAAATGTGAATGTCTTGTGTAGTACGAGCAACTTCTAGGCCAAGAAAATATTTCAGTCGTCCCAAATCTTTAATCCGAAATTGTTGATTAAGAAATTGCTTGACCGTGTTGATTTCATCAATTGAATCACCTCCAAGAATTATATCATCTACATAAATGAGTAAAGCAGTGAAGGAAGAAACATTTTTCTTTGTAAAAAGAGAATGATCAGATTGAGATTGTATAAAACCAATTGAAAGAAGAGAAGTAGATAATTTGGCAAACCACCGCCTACTAGCCTGTTTTAATCCATAGAGGGATTTGGTTAAGCGTGCAGACTGATTTGCTTGAGGAGGTATCACGCCAGGGGGGATCCATGTACACTTCCTCATTGAGGTCTCCATGAAGGAAGGCATTATTGACATCTAGTTGAACAAGATGCCAATTCTTAACAACTGCAATAGCAAGCATGAGTCTAACAATGGTAATTTTAACAACAGGAGAAAAAGTGTCTAAGAAATCTACTCCTTCTAATTGAGTGAAACCCTTAGCCACTAGTCTAGCCTTATGTCTTTCAATAGAACCATCGGCTTTATATTTGGTTTTATAAACCCATTTACAACCTATAGTTCTCTTTCCAGGGGGAAGATTAGTGAAATACCAAGTCTTATTTTCTTCTAAGGCTTTTATTTCTTTACGCATAGCATCAATCCATTCAGGGTAACAAGTCGCTTGTTTATAAGTAGTAGGTTCAAAATTGTTAGAAATAGCAAGAATGTATTTCAAATGTTTTGAAGATATTTTTTTATAAGAGAGAACAGAAGATAGAGGATAAGAAATGATACTATTTTTAGATTTGTTGGTGTTGTCATCTCTTGGAGGATTGCAATAAGAATCGAATTGTTGGAGTCATCGAGTACTTAAGGAATTGCAATGGAAATCCTGCAGATAATATGGTGCCTTTCTCATTCTAGTAGATCTTCGAGAAGCAGTCTGGTTAGGTGTTCGATTGGAAATATCTTCTTCTGTCACTTGGAAGGAAATATCTTGAGGATTTGAAAACGGATGCACATGATTAGACCTGACTTTCTTATGCATGAGATTGTTAGAATAAAAAAAGAATTGAAAATCAGTCAATGTGAAAAGATCAGTGTCATCAACAATATTAGTTTTAACATAGGGAAATTCATTTTCATAGAATATCACATTTCTGGATATAGAAATTTCTCTAGAATGTAAATCAAGAGTCACATAACCTTTGGTGCCAGGTTTATATCCAAGGAAAACACTTTTTCTGGCTCTAGGATCTAGCTTCAGTACGGTTGTTATGAATTGTAGATGTGAAACAAAGACAACCAAACACTTTTAAATCATTAAGAATAGGAAGTTGATTATGCAGAATTTGGAATGGAGATTGGTTCCTTATGGTTTTACTTGGCAGACTGTTGATTAGGTAGATAGCATGAACAACGAGCATAGGACCAAAAACATTTTGGAAGATTGGCTTGAAATAACAAGCTACGTGTGACATTCATTATGTGTTGATGTTTCCTCTCTACCCTTCCATTTTGTTGAGGTGTCTCTACACAAGAAGTTTGATGAATAATACCATTTTTATCATAGAATTCAGGATAAGAAAACTCTTTCCCATTGTCGGTTCGAAAATTTTAATATTACGACCAAATTGGTTTTTAACAAGGATAATAAAATTGTTCAATAGACTCCTAGTCTCATGTTTATTCTTCATAAGAAAAAGCCATGTGTGTCTAGAGAAATCATCAACAATAGTATGAAAATATCTATGACCATGTATAGAAGAAATACCAATGGGACCCCATATATCTATATGAATCATTTCAAAAATTGTACTCGGAAACATGAATACTCGTTATTAAAGGGAAGTTTATGTTGCTTGGCCGAATGACATACATCACAAATTTTTTCAGTGCTATTATGAATGTAAGGAAAATCTTTAATCATATTTTCAATTATCTTGCTAGAAGGATGTCCCAATCTGTTGTGCCAAAGATTGGAAGTGGAATAATTTCTGCTGCGAGTATTAATACTGGTGTTGTCATCGAGTAGGCACAATTGAACTATTATTACCGATGTTATTAATATGAGACCAAGAAAAAACGAGTATCTTGTTTCGTAAACAATACAAGCCATCTTTCAGATCAAGCATGCCCAATCATCTTCAATGTAAGAACATCCTGAATCTGGCAATGGTTAGAAGAAAAAATCAATTTACAATTGGAATCAATAATCAGCTTTTGAGCAGAAATTATATTAAATTCAAAATTGGGAATATGAAGAACATTATAGAGTGTAAGGCTATTTGAAATACAAACCGTACCAAGCATATTCAGCGAGTGACATGATTACCATTAGGTAATTTCACATGCACAGTGTCCGATTTTAGTAAAAGTTAAAAAATGATTTTTATTGTAAGCTACATGATCAAGTAGTCCCAGGTGTCTATAATCCAAGATGAACAGAGAATACCTTTGGAGTCTTGTTGATCACCATTATTATTTTTAAACCGGTTGACCCTATGAGTAGTGTCTTGATTCTTTTCTTGTAGAAGTTTTAATAGCTGTTGAACTTGTTCACCTGTCAGTCGACTATTCTGAACAATGTGCACTTGATTTTTTTATTCTTCTTCTTTCAAA